GATAGATAGATAGATAGATAGATAGATAGATAGATAGATAGATAGATGGATGAATGGATGGATACAGAGATAGATACAGAGGTAGATACAGAGGTAGCTACATGGATAAATACAGACACACAGAGAGGTTCATTCCATAAGTTCTGTTACTTTGAGAACCCCAGTACACAGATTTTCTCAAACTGGCCTTGAATGAGACTCCTCCCATCCCTAGACAGACCACCGTGTTACTAAGAGAAAGCAGTCCTCCTCTCACAACGCATCTCTTCATAGCTTGGTCTTGACATCACCACTTGTAACAATACAGCAGATCAATTTTTTGTACTGAACAAATGACCCATTTTGCTGGAGAGTAAGGGGGCATTGCTGCATGGCCCGTGCCCTTACCAAGAGCACTCTTAGTTATAGGTTTCTGGGCTGACAAGCTGCTCTTGATATCAACCAATATCTGAGCTCTAGGATTTTTGATGGGACAAGTAAGGGTTCTCAGAAGGAAGTTCTGAGGAAACTGCTTCCTCTCAGGTCCTAGATGTATGCAGGACAGACCGTGGGAAAGCATCTCAGTGTCAGTTAGGGGCTACGGTCCTTTTAAACCAGAAGAAGAAGTTTAAAGCCAGAGGGTTTGAACATCCTCTGTACTGAGACGGTAAGTACTGTAAAAACAAATGCAGTTCCAGAATTTTAGGGCCTAAGTCCCAAGGGTGGGGATGCAACATAGGTTCAGTTTCTAGCCAGCAAATGTCTGTGTCTATAACCCAGAGAGGCACAAAGTTTCCTGGGTTAAAGCTATCACTGTTCAATCAGTTATTATTATTAAGTAGAAAATATCGTTGGTAGACCTTAAATATGACATGGCCTGCGCTGAGAAGCCAGAGAAACCCTTGGATGTGGGGCCTGGATGAAGAAATGGAACCTTAGGTGACCCAAAAATTGCCAATGCAATGAAAGCAGTTACCCCATGCCCTGCCTCCAGTCCCACCAGCTGAGCCCACCACCATGCTGTGCCCGATCTTCTGAACACGTGACCCAAAATAACTTCTGCCTATCTTGAGTCTTGGCATCAATTTGAGAGCAAAGAATTCAAAAACTGCGTTGGGTTTTGTCTAGCTGTGATTGGTCCATGCTCCATGACCTCACAAGGAGCCATTGTGAGGAATGAGAGTGGCCCACCCACACAAGGCACCAGCTGGGCCTGGATCTTGTCCTTACATTGCAGTGAAGTTACTGGTTGCCTGCAGAGAATTTGACTCAAGACTTTGGTCCTGAGTGCTTTTTATTTGTGTTGTCTGTCTCTGGAACTGAACACCCGTGATCACCACTGATCTGAACCTTGTGAGTGTGCTTACCAGTGGGTCGGGTTTGTGCCTAAATTTTGATTTACTGTTTGTTTTAGTTTGTCCATGTGCTTCAATTTATTTTTATTTCCAACCACGTTCTATTAATCTCTGTTCATTTATCTTTGGCATATTGTACATTGGTTTAGTTCTTTACCTTTGCTTTTGCTAGTATAGATTATGCGTAAAAGATAAGTAATTTGATTTTGTATTGTGCTTGGAGAATACCCACCTGCTTTGTTACTCCCCTTAGCCTTTCCCTGGGGTTACAACTTCCCTTATGTTAAGGGTCTTCTGCCCACCGTTTCCACTCATTAAACAAAATATGCTCTGTGGAATTTTGAGGGACAACAATTTCCTCACAGTGTCACAGACAGGTTATCATTCTTTTGATGACCATAGATATGAGTTTGAGAAAAAGGATTGAGTATCATGAGTGTAGAGATGAAGAGGCCTGCATTAACTAAAGTCATTCGAGAACTTGAGGGTCTGAGTGAAAAGGGCCTCGAAGAAGCCTGTGTGTTCACTCTCTATCTAGTTCATAGCCATTTCTCTAACCCAGGCTAGCTGAAAGCTGACTGAGATTTGTAACTGCTGCTCTTATCAAAGTCCAAATGTCCTCCTCAAGGTTTGAATGTGAGAGGTTTCTGAATTCTTCGTCTCTGGCAGAGGGTACTTCTCAGGGAGTTGTAACATTAGAGGAAACAAGACATGCCAAAGCCATGTAATCAGCTGCTTCAAACCCATCTTCCCAAGTCCCCAGACATGTGTTCCTGACCTCTGAGAGTCCAAGCCAAAGTAAAACCTATGTATCACATGTTGCTTCTTCTCAGGGAATTGGTCATGGCAGAAAACTAATGTAGTCCTTGGAGACAGAAGGTGAAGAATTTAGAATTTCTGTTTTTTTTTTTGTGAACAACTGTGATTGGTTCATTTCTTTTTATGACCTCACTGGAGCCATTGTGAGGAGTTGAAGACTCCGCCCACATGAGACTCAGGCTAGGGCTGGGCTGTCTCACTCTGGAGAGAAGCTATAGCTTGGTTGGCTGCAGAATTGTTGGACTTAGACATTGGTTCACGTAAACTTTGATATTACTGATTTAAAACTGCTATAGAGATTTGCATTGGTATGGATCTTGGTTTATTAAAGCAAATTTAAGGTCAGTCTTGTTGTATGTATATTTCTGATCTTAATTAAGGTATTGTGATTGTATAGCTCCTTTAAAAATGTAATGTATAATTAAGAAACATGTTAATAATCATCTATAATAGTAAGATTGTAGTCATATTAGTTTTGTTTTCTAGATATATAGAGATATATTTCAGTTAGTTAGGTATTCTTCAAATCTTTCAGAGACCTTCAGAATATGGCATTTAAATGTTTTAAGAATTTAGGACTTTTCATGACAGTGAGACACGTCTGCTCCTAGCAGCACAAGTTACTTCAAGAGGATGATGGGCAATGAAGAGGTTCTTTATGGAGTTGGTTAGTCATTTGGGTAAAAAACTGCCTGGACTGCTTCACTGGACATGCAGGACCTACAGAAATGACCGCTGAACTTGCCTAAATGTGAGATGATCCTTTGGATTTCCTACTTTATGAAAAGGTCTGCGAGACATTCTACAGGACACAGAAGAAAGTGACTGGCAAACTGCCAGTATTGGCAGAAATTTCCTGCTTCATGGAAAAGTCTGCTGGGTACTATGGGTTTGTAGGCTGAAGATGGATGCCCCAACAGTACAGAAGAACTTTGAGTGACTGTCCAGGCAGCAAGATGTCTCTGTCATTTCTAGAGTTTTGGAAGTTGCTTACAATACACTTCCTGTTTATTCCTGTTCTGGAGTCTTTGATAGAGTTGAAGAATAGCTCGGGGGCTGGAGAGATGGCTCAACAGTTAAGAGCATTGCCTGCTCTTCCAAAGGTCCTGAGTTCAATTCCCAGCAACCACATGGTGGTTTACTGTGGCAAACATTCCACACCCGAGTCTGCATCACCACCCACCTGGTATGGACCACAGCTCCAAACCTTCCACGAGCTAGGTAAGGTCCTAGGGGTTAAACACAAGACGCACACACATACAGAGAGTTTGAGTCATTCGCCAAGAGGAGAATGCCCGTTTATTCAGCTTAATCCGGGGTTAAAATACCCTTTGGCCCCAGTAAAGGAAACCCCTCCCAGCCTGAGGGGGATGGGGAAGCTGGCGCCTGAGTGAGCTTCTTCGCAAGCAGGTGGGTGAGGGGTGCAGGGCAGTGTCAGACAAGGTAGAGGGACCTTGGCGCCTGGGCTCTCCTGGGCAGGTTGAGAAATTACCATTTCAAAGTAATATAGAGCCCTAGGCTATTATACCAGGCTAGAGCAGAACAAGCACGGAACTAGCAGGAAGCTTAGCTGGTTAGCCAAAACAGTCCTTGATTTGCACCTCGAGAGGCAGGGGAAAATCTGGAATCCCAACAGTTTACAACCATCTGTAATGAGGTCTAGTGCTCTCTTCTGGCCTGCAGGAATACACGCACACAGAATACTGTATACATGATAAATAAATAAATATTTAAAAAAAGAATAGCTCGATAATTATAGCTACAGTTTTCCTTAGTTATGATAAAAGATAAAGTAAATAGAAATATTGTAATTGTAATTCTTGCTTGATACCTGTTTTGTTATATGTAATTTTACTATGTTAAAGTTAAAACTTTCTTTTATTATTATTATTATTAATATTATTTATTCATTTATTTATAAAAAATTTCCACTTCCTCCCCTTCTCCCAATACCCTCCCATTCCCCCCACTCCCTCTCCTCCTCCCTCTCCAGTCCCAAGAGCAGTCAGGGCCTCCTGCCCCGGTGGAAGTCCAAGTTCCTCCCCCCTCCCTCCAGGTGCAGGAAGGTGAGCATCCAAACAGACCAGGATCCCAGAAAGCCAGCACATGCAGATGAAACAAGACCCAGTGCCATTGTCAATGGCCTCCCAGTCAGTCCCCATGTCAGCCACATTCAGAGAATCCGGCCCTATCACACGCTCGTTCAGTCTCATTCCAGCTGGCCCTGGTGAGCTCCCACCAAACCAGTCCCCTTGTATCAGTGGGTGAAAACACCCCTCGCGGTCCTGACTTCCTTTTTCATGTTCTCCCTCCTTCCGCTCCTCATTTGGACCTTGGGGGCTCAGTACAGTGCTCCAATGTGGGTCTCTGTCTCTATCTCCATCCATCGTTGGATGAATGTTCCCTCCGATCCTGCCTTCCTTGCTCATGCTCTCCCTCCATCTGCTTCTCATTTGGACCTAGGGAGTTAAGTCCAGTGTTCCAATGTGTGTCTCTATCTCCA